CGTACTCCGTCAGGTTTAAGACACACACGTACTCCGTTAGGTTTAAGTTAGGTTAGGTTTAACGTTGTGTAGAAGGGTTTTTAATTGCAGCTGAAGATATAAAGTTCGTCTCCCTCTTTGTGTTCAGCTCTCTTGAACATCGTTCTGACCCAGAGAGCTTATCTCACGCTCAGAACTAACTGTATTTGTGTAAGTTAAACTGCAGAGTCGTCAGATTACTGGAGCATGACTGGACAAGAAACGGAGACACACTGTTCCGTTTTATGGAAATCTTGCAGAGCTTTTGTGGCTCTGAGAGGAACCCCAGCCTGGCATCGGTCCACGACAACACACATCTACACACATCTACACACATCTACACACGGAGACGAGAACTAACTCTTATAAAACACCACAGACCGTTTACTGAGAAGACTTTAGCTCTTCTGGGTATCGGACGTCTCCAACTATGAGCTCGGGCTGCGTTTCTCTGCCAACATTTAGAGACGTTGACGGATTATCAGACATCAACACACAGCTGCTTCTACTTTAGGACGCTTATTACGGCAACGGTCGTTTTATCCTCCGTCTGCGCGGTGAAGCTCATCGACCTGTCAACTGCATCTTGGTCGTGCTACAGTGGGAGCTATATTTACATCAGACCGTCTGTCAGGAACTAGACGATTCTTGTGCAACAGAAGTACTTTGGAACAGCGGCCTCCTGGATGAAGGTCCTCTGTTTGTTTGTCCTCAGGGTTACCCAGGAGGAGCTGGAAGACGCTGCTGAGGAGAGGGATGGATGGATTTATTAGTTCAGCCAAGTCTAGCCTCGACCACACCTTCCATGTGCAGATGTTGTATGAAGAAAGAGTTGTAACTGAAGGTTGTTAGAAAGGTTATTTTGCCAAAACTCAAGCAAGATTCAAAGGACTATCTTAGAGTGCAGACACACACACAGCTCAGCTCCTCTCAGGGCACTTTAACAGCAGCAGCGCTGTTCAACTGGCGTCACAGATCATCAGCTGTTTGACTTTCAAGCCTCCGAGTACAAACACAGACGAGGTTAAAGTGTCGCTCGGCCGGTGGCGGAGCTGAAAGAGTTTAACGTCAGCTGTCAAAGGAACAAACACCTGCTGTCACCCCACCGATCCAGGTGTTAGATGCCTTTTTTGGGGTTCAGTCGGGATTTATCTGCATTATGGCACAAAATGAGCAGAGAGTGTTCGACGGTGAACTCTCACTGTGAGATTCAAACGACTTGTTCCAGTCTGAACTCGTAGCCTTCATGCATGAAGAGACAAGTTCAGCCGCTGAAGCTGGAGTTCTTCCTGTTTGGCAAAAGAAAACTGAAGTTAATGAGATCAGTTTGTTGCTTCGTGGCAGATTAATCAAAGATGGGTTTGACGTTGTGTGTTTTTTAAGTGGAGGTAAATCATGCGGTTGTAAAGGAACTGGAGTATAATAAGAACCAGTTCCAGGGTTGGTTCAGCCTGTCATGGATGTTATTGGTGATGAGATGAGCCACCAGGCTGCCGGTTTAACTCCGACCCTCAGGGTTTATCTACAGAGCTGTCGATCACTGTGAGGGGGTACATACCTCTTGTTTTAAAGACTTACTGGCTCTCTACATTTGTGATTAGAGTTGTGATTAGAAAGGTTTTTTCTCTCCTGGTACCTGAACTTGAGTATCGGCCGATTCCTCATACTGATCAGATACCAGTGCGTTAAAAACATAGACTGTAAGAAGTGGACGTAGTCACCATGACGTCACCCACTGGTTTGTGGACTACGGATATGAGGCTACGAGTTTGGCATTTTGGTCGTCACCATATTGGTTTTTGCCCGTCTCTATCCTAAATTTTGGAAGTCGCCATCTTGGTTTTTGGTCGTCGTCATATTGGTTTTTGGTCGTCACCATCTTGGTTTTTGCCCGTCACCATCTTGGTTTTTGCCCGTCACCATCTTGGTTTTTGCCCGTCACCATCTTGATTTTTGGTCGTCGCCATCTTGATTTTTGCCCGTCACCATCTTGGATTTTGATTGTTGCCATCTTGGTTTTTGGTCATTGCCATCTTGATTTTTGCCCGTCGCCATCTTGGTTTTTGGTCGTCGCCATCTTGATTTTTGCCCGTCACCATCTTGGATTTTGATTGTTGCCATCTTGGTTTTTGCCCGTCGCCATCTTGGTTTTTGCCCGTCGCCATCTTGGTTTTTGCCCGTCGCCATCTTGGTTTTTCCCTGTCGCCATCTTGGTTTTTCCCTGTCGCCATCTTGGTTTTTGCCCGTCGCCATCTTGGCTTTTAGTCGTCGCCATCTTGGTTTTTGATCGTCACCATCTTGGTTTTTGCCCGTTGCCATCTTGGTTTTTCGGCCTTTACAATCCGTTCTTTGTCGCGCTCTTGAGTTTTGGTCTTCACCATCCCCGTCACTATCTTGTTTTTTTGCAACAATAAGTGACAAGAGACGGTGGAGCTAAGTACAACCGAATGATAGGACATTTTTAGGGGATCAAATTGTTACAATGAACTTAGTGAAAGGGTTTAAAGTTGTAAGACGAAAACACTGACTACTCCCAGACCGCACAACACCGTGGTAGCGACCTGTCAATCACTGTGTAGCCTCGCCCTAAAGCATCCCCTGCTTTATGGTCTGTGTGACTCTAAATGGACCATAATGTACTAAATGAACATCATGCTGTATTGAAGACTTGAAACTAGAGATTGAGACCATAAACTCATGTTTACAATGTTTACTGAGGTAATAAATCAAGAGAGAAGTAGAGTCATTTTCTCATAGACTTCTATACAACCAGAGGAGTCGGCCCCTGGTGGACACTAGAGAGAATGCTGCTTTAACACATGCACCAGAGGTTTCCTGCTGGATATACTGTGCTTATTTACATATGTGACGGGCTCGTTTCATTGGTGGAATATGGACTCAAAGAAAGAATCCAATGCAAACTTGTAGCTTTTGAGCAAAATGTAAAAGCCGTGGTTTAAGGCGGAGCATTGTGCAGCTTCAATCACGCAATCCAGTTCAAATGTTTCTAGAGGTTTCCACTCAGAGAACCAGCAGAGGATCTCTCTGATACAATCAAACCTCCCGTCTGAGACGCACAGAGAGGCTTTGATGTCTGGCGGTAAACTGCAGCATTTGAGTGACTTGAAAGTAGCAATTCTCTCATTTCACAACCGGTAATAATCTCAGATGTGACTTCACTGCTGTGGAAATAAAACTCAACTGAAGCCAGTTTGGCCTGAAACAACATGGAAGATTTCCTGCTTTGGAAATCATTGCTGTGTTTTTCATCTGCATGTAATTTGTCAATAGCTGCTCTTCATTATCCCCGAGAGGAGAAACCTGCTGGGAGCCACGCCTCCTCCTAAACACACCCCATCACCTCAGTTTAGTTCAGCTACAGAGGACACTCTGACAGCAGAGGAGGAAACACCGTCAGAAACAGACAACAGAGTAGTTTTACACTGTGGTATCAGTACTTTCCCTGTAACAGAGTAGTTTTACACTGTGGTATCAGTACTTTCCCTGTAACAGAGTAGTTTTAAACTGTGGTATCAGTACTTTCACTGTAACACAGTAGTTTTACACTGTGGTATCAGTACTTTCACTGTAACAGAGTAGTTTTACTGAGTGGTATCAGTACTTTCA